CCACAATGCAGACCACGAGGTAGAGGACAGCCATGGTGATGCCAAAGCCATTGATGTTGTCCTCAAAGTACAAGTGTTCCTCCACATACGACTGATTGTTGTCTACATAAAAAACATAAGATGATTCCATTGTGACTCAGCTGCTTGTCTAGAGAGGCAAAAGAAACAGTATAAATAATGATGAAAATTCAGTGACAGTTGTGCTTCAGCAGGGAGGGAAGCACAAAATTTTTCTTCAAGTGGATTTTCCTCTTGGAGGGAAAAGTTCTCAGTGGGAGAGATAAGTAAACACCTCAAGTGAAAAATCTGAAAATCAAGCAGGTTTCTTGGTTCAGATTCTTCAACTCATCTACTCGAATCCGGCCTGTCACACTTCCTTTGATCCACTGACAAGAAAAAGTTTTTCATCTGATAGCGACGTGAGTTTCTTCACAAACACTCTCAGAAGCAGGGTGGGGAAGACTCGGACGCTTGCCTGAACACTCGTTTTCCTTGAGAGCCCCTTTATATCTCTTCCCCCCCTCTCAGTGTGTGAGGAGCGTGTCTGCTGCTCCATGTGTGGGAGACCCTCCCATGTACCTCCCTCCTCTTGTTCATCAGCCTCCAATGACTGTGACGAACTCTACGGCTCGTTGTCGTGGCATTTCCAAGACAAACCCTTCTAAACAACAGCTTTTGTTTTTATAACTTTGTCTCTATCTTTTCCTATCAACATTCGTTTCTGTTTACCCTACTTTCCTCCATCAGTTGTGGCTCCCCACCCTCCACCTCTGGCTCCTGCTTCTTTTCTGCCTCACAGTTCAGCGGTGGGTCATGCATCAAGACCCAGACAGATAATAACACTATCTCGTTGCTCTGGCCACCCACCTCTATGGCCTATGAGCTGAACAAATCTGCAGATGGGAAGGAAAAGTCTTTTTTTGCAGTTTTGTTTTTTTGACATTTGACATAGGAGGCTGCTGTATTCTCCTCCGACTCCTTCCATCATCCTCATACCCGCCTACCTTATTTGTCTTGTAAGGGGGAGAAAGAATGGAAAGTTTTCGTGAGAGATGGAGGGGAGGTAAGGGAGGGAGGGTGTAATAAATGCTGGATGAGGGACGGCCACACATCCTGTTATTGCGTCGACATGCATAGCTGGAATGCCCAATTTTTGCCAAACAATCCTCCAGCACGTTCTTACATCATCTCTGCTTACAGCGATTCTGCATTATATCAATTCAGCACTAACATTTCTCACCATGTGGTGCCTCTCAAAGGTTTTCACATCCCTTATTCACATTTTGGCAAGTCTGCTTTCCATATGTAGAGACTCTGCTTTCATTTAGTCAGACTGGATGGAGAGTATCATCCAAATGGATTCTTCAAACACACAATCATGTTTTGATGTACGATATTTCAATGTAGGTCCCATGCCATGATGCTGAGAAGAATGATTACATTCGATTGTATTTGGTGGTACCAGAATTCATATTTGTACCGAAATCTGAAAACCCATGAGGGATATGCATTTCATTTTATTTTTATTTTCATTTTCATGTGACAGGCCTACTTTGAGTTCTGTGATAGAAACATTCCATCTAATGTTTTTTGGTATTACATGACCATGTGGAAAAGTCCAACTTTTGCCAGGTTCTGCACTGAGCAGCTCACATGAATTTCCTCACATATTTCTCAAGACATGCCATCCGTGTCTTGTTAAACTGGTTCCAATTAAGTGAAGAAAAACACCTTTTTAGTCTGCATTCGTAATTGGCTTGTTGCTTAACCTACTGACAGGAACTGACACCTCCAATTCCCAACAATGCCCTCCCCCATGTAAAAGCACGACTAGAAAACTTTGTTTTGCGGAGCTAAATTTGGAAGTTTTTCCACAGCGTCGTATTTCACGGTCATTATTTCACTGTGGTGTTTCAGCAGACACACTGGCAGTCATGTCCACATTCAAAGTCCTCTGATAAACTTCCAACTTAGAAAAGCTGCAAACGTAACGTTGAGCTCAACAAGGTCTGGGATGACTGTAACAGTCAGACGTGTAAAAAAAAAAAAAAAAAAATCTGATTTCCTTTGTAAAGATAAAGGCAAAACTGATTGGATTCCTATTGAGACCTGTGCTGTCTTTATTCCCATATCAAAGCGATTACACATTTTTTACCCCCTGTCTGTGCTTGCAGCTGTTTACTACCCCTCTGAAAGTACAAGCATCTATAAACACTTCTACTCCACCATGGAAAAAACAACCATGGGTGGCAATGATGTAAACTTTAATGAGACATGGAAAATTCAAAGGAAGGACATCATGAGGATTTCAAAACCGTACCAATGACTCTGTCTAAAACAACTGAAGCTTGTTGTTAAATTTGAAGTTTAACAGAAACAGAATAAGGACAAAGCAAATCAGAAGAAAAAACCCATAAAATGTTACCAAAGTTGTGGGTGAGTAGGGGGTTTTTCTGCAGAAAGACATGCATGTGGTATTCATGGAATTAGTCGCATCATGTAAAGATTTGTTTGCCAACTCTAAACAAGTTCATTAAGAGTTTTTAAAAGAATCTCGCCTTTTGAGTTCCATACCAAGAATAATCCAATAAGCAATCACTCTACTCATTTGTCTTCCACTAATCTGAGACCGGGTTGCTAGGGTAACAGGTCTGGGAAGGAAAACAAACATCTCTCTAACTCATTCTACAAGATCCTAACAGGCAAGTGTTCTTGGTCTAATTTGGGTTCTTGTACTAGTGGGACCTCTGAAACAGAGGTTCACAGTCAGAGCACCTGAACTAATGTCTATCAATGTGGAAGAGAAAAACTCTAGTCTATACTCCCTCTGGATTGGAGACCGCCTTAAGGCTCCCACGGTCTTAAGAGACGAGGTTGCTGTGATTGTAGCTAATATTAACTAACTACTGATATGACTGATCTGATTGTGGGCTTAAAAGCCGTTTTCAAACTAAAGAGGATTATAGGCAAAACTATTTTCCTAAAGTTGATTTATTCAGCATAATTTTGACCTCATAATTTGATTCAAAACTGTTTTATTAATTCTAAAATATGACATTGTAGCGATGGCCTGTTACATCATATGAAAGCCAGTCACTTAAAATAACACTTACTACTTTGCATCCAGACCTTGTGCTCAAAATACACATGACTCAGCAGTAGTTTGTCAAAGTGACTCACCCTAATTTTAAAATGTCAACAACTAAAAGTGCTAGAGCAAATCAGGGGGGTCAACCGAAGATTTCTCCACTTTTACAAGTCTGGTGGATGTCAAACTAAATTTGTGACTAAGAATTTTGTCTTATTTTTTTAAGCCTTTGGGGACAAATCCAACACTCCAAAGTTATTCAAAATATTTTTCAGCTGACCTGATTATCTGAGGTGACCAAACTAACACCTCAGATCTTGGTTTTAAAGTCATGGTGGACCCTTCATTTTTTTGTTTTTGTTTTAGGGGTTTAGGTTCAGAAACCAGGGGGCTAAACAAACCTTTTGCAGAGCCATGCAAGTTTCTAAAAAAAGAGCTCCAATGAAAGACAGAGGCCATCTGCAGCTCACATGTGGTGATATAAGCAAAGCCTGAGTCATGTCTGACATAACTGTTTCATCAGATTGCTTCTTGGTCAACACGCATCTAAGGAATTGCAAACTGCATTTTTCATCACTTAGCAGTCTAGAAATTCCACTTTCTAATTGCATTGTTTGTCGTTTATGGGAATCAGGCTGTTTTCATCCCACTTATTGTTTCTCAGAAACGGTAAGCGGGGACCTGGAGAGACTAATTGGTGACAGAAGTACACAGTTCCAGTTGGGATTTTGAAATCATGGCATTTAAAGGGGAATCTGTTCCAATTTGAAGCTTGCACGTAGTACTTCATGGATGCAGATTTCAACATAGCTTTCATGTAGGTGGATGATAAGAACAAAAAGTCAAACACAGTTGAGTATCCACCTTTGACTGTAAGACTGGTGGTCTACACTCAGCGGTTGCTCTTGTACTTCGTTCCATTGACTTTATTATGGTGTTCAGTGTTGAATTTACCTGCCAATCTCTTCCACTGTTTCAGGCTCATCAATGGACTGCTTGTGTTATGGATCAGTGGTAGACCGTATGGTCTCCATTGCTCTCTGAGGCTCCTCTGTTGTTGTGGTCATTAGTCTCTTTGGGGTGTCAACAGATCCAGCTTCTGTTAGCCATTCGTCGGTCTTCTTTAGATCCGTCACTTCTCCAGTCTACCAGTAGATCATATCACACGGAGACTTATCTTTCTGCAATTGTGTTTTGACAATTAGCAGAAAACAGACAAAAATTTGCTCACATTTGTAACAGAAACCCAGTGATAATACAACATTGAACGTTTCTGAATATAGGTCACACCCACTAAAAAAAAGTCCATACATAGGTCAGATTTTACACAAAAAGATCTGTTTAACTTTTAATGAACACAAATATCACACATGGTTTTTCCTAACGTTGCCCCTAACACAGCTGCTTTAAAAAATAAAAAATACAGTAGACTGCCAGGAAAAGTAATCAGCAATTAGCAAACTAATCCAATTAGATCTAATTAGGGAAATTAGCTTTTGAGCTTGTGCTGTTATCTTCTTCACACAGACGTCCAGCCTTTCGATACTTATTGGTAAAACTTACATATTAGCCGCTTCGTTTGGTACTGATTTGGTACTATCATGACAATTTCATGCTTTTAGTTCAGGATTTTTCACATAACAAAGCTAGTTAACATTTGCCTGGGTCTGTCTCCATGGTAACTATTCTGGAAATTTAACTTGCTTGGGTTAGGTTTCTCAGATTAGTGAGCCTAATGAGGAAATCTTTGGAATTGAACCCCTGCAGATATTCCCATTATTTATTGAGAGTCTACGAACATTGTTGTGTTTTTCCTTCCAGGGGTATTAATTGACATTTAACTACCAACTGGAGCAAATAAGAGTTCAGAAATGAATTTACGAAACTTTTTTTCCCTTTCCCTCCATTTGAGGCTTCCATTGAATCACAGTGTGACATCAGGAGTCACTGTGACGGAACAGGAACTCAACAGAAGGTTGGAGGAGAAATGGAATCTTCCACCAACTTTTTCGTTCATTCCTTGCTGGCGAATTTGCTCGTCTTCGACAAACAACCTCCCTTAAACCATTTCCCTTGAAACGTCTATCGACGTCACGTGACTTTAACAACCGTACGGTAAGTTCCCCTTTCTTCAGCCTGGAATCAGAAATCAAAGTTTACGAGTTTATTTGCTGATTTGTTTGTTGTGTTTTTCTTGACGCATTTTAATGACATTGCATTGATTTATGAGATGGATGGGTGTTATTATCCAAGAGTAATTGATTTCAACGTATTAAATATTCATGATTCATGTAAAAGCTATCTGTAAATAGATAGATAGCTCTATTTTGGTTTAGCTTACATTTATTGTATTTACTGATGAACTTCTCTGTAAGCCTATATCTAATAAACAGGATTTACTGTTCATCATATTCCTTCTGTTCTGCTTTTCCCTCACAAATCCTCCAATTTCAGCTGACACCTTTAAAGCCTGTGAGCTTTTGAGACCTTTGAAGATGGGGATTGGCATTTCGTCTCCATCCTGGGACTACGAGATGGAGCATTACCTGGGCAGTGGCGCCTATGGAGCGGTCGTCCAGAGCAAGAAACTGGGCACCAATGAGATCGTGGCTTTAAAAGTAATCAAGAACGAGAGATACATGGAAATAGCAAAGAAAGAGGTGAAAGAAAAAACTTTAGACTGAGCAAACTTTTTGAATTTGAGCAACAAAATTGGTTTTGCAATTTGCATTTATGTTACTTGGCTAGATTTTAATCTATATTTATGAGCTAGTAATTAGGGACATTTTAATCAAATTTACAATGTATTCATTCTAAATTAGTTGCATTTTAATTAACCGTAGATGACTTTTTGTGAGTACGGTGGGGTCTGGCAGTATGAAGTTGGGCCATCTCATTATAGGATCATTTTGTTTGTCTGGTTCGTCTTCTAATGTATGCAAATGTTTGGTTTGTGATTAATTAATTAACCAATTAGATAAGGTGAAATTGACCTTGAGCTTTATGTTTTCTTTTAAATTAACTCAGCAAGATCGTAACGTTCTGTATCCCTGACAACCATAGCTATGTCATTCCCAGTCACTCTTGGTTAAGAAGCTTAAGCCGTGTCCGAATTCAGGGCCTGCGTCCTTCGAAGTCCCGATTTGTGGGCTGACAAGGCCTGTCCGAATTCGAACAATCCTCCAAATGTGCCCTACTTTTCACCACATTTGAAGGATGGGTCAGGCGCATCCTTCATGGCCCACACTGTTCCATGATATTCATTGTGGGTCCAATCCAGGTGTTCAGGCAAATGGGGGTGAAGAGCTGCCAATTAATTTGCTGTGTTCGATTTTAAGTGACACAGCATAAACTTTTACAGTATTTCTAAGTGACAATATAGCTGTGTAGACCTCAAATATCTGCTTAGTTTATCAATACGTCACCTAACTGCAGTGTTGCTCTACTGCATTGACAGCCAGCTGCCATCGCCAGCCCCTGAATTTGGACACATTATTGACTGTCTGCAAGACAGTTTGACCGTAGCGTTAGCGCTGCTGCTGTACAGAATCTTTCTGCTGAGCTTATCATATGAACTGCTTCTCAATCCTAAGAACAGTTGTGAACAGCACAATAAAAAGGTGTTGTGATGATGTGCTTCAGGTGTTTTTGCTGTCTTTGCTGTTTTAAACACTACAAACAACAGAGATTGAGAAACCTGAATGGAACTGAACCAACATCTTTAGTCAAATTCTAATGTGAGATTAGATTTTTGTTAGTTTAGAAGTTATTGGATGTTACATTTACAAATTAGTATAATAAACATTTGAATTATTTTATTTGGCAATTTTTTTTATATATCCACCAAAATGACTTGTTAATAATGAACCCCAAATTTTTTTCTCAGCTGAAATTAAACCTGATAAAACTCACTCTTCAGGTGGAGATACTTCAGTACTTGAAGGGACTTGGCTCAGACAAGTTCAACATCGTCATGTTGAATGACTCCTTCACCCATGTGGGATGTTACTATATGGAGTTTGAGAAACTGGATATAAATCTGACAGACTTCTTGCGGAAGAAGCCACAACGCTCCCTGGAACAGAAGGACATTTGTCCCATAGTGCATCAGGTTGGTCGTCTACGCAGGGTTGTGGGCTGGTTGGTGGAGAGGGGAGAGGATATGGTGCCTATTTGCACCGGTAATTGGGTGAGAGGCAGGGTACACCCCGGACAGGTTGATTGTCCACAACAAGGCAACACAGAAACTCACACACTCACACCAAAGGGTGAATTGGCAAGACCAATGTACCCATCAGTCAGGTTTTTGGACTGTGTGAGGAGGCCGTACCAGTACCAGGAGAAAATCCAAACATTCATAGATAGAATCCGAGACCCTTTTTCTACAAGGCAGCAGTGCAACAAACTACACCGCACACCATGTAGCCCTGTTTCTGTTATGAAAGTAGAAATAAAAACCAAAAAAAAAGTTGGTGATAGAGCCACAATGATGTATAGAATATTTATTTTTCCTACTGAGATCATTCCAGTTTTGGTTAGAGTTTGGTATCCTGTTCTGTTTTCCAAGCATTTAGTGATTGTTGAACAGGTTGTTGACCTTGTAAAAACGACTGGTTATTTCACGCCTTTCTCATTTTGTAGTTAATACCAGACGGCTGTCTTTAGGTACAAAAGACAGCCGTCTTTTGTACCTAAAGACAGCCGTCTGCTTCGGGAGATTTTGTACAGGTTATGTTTTAAATTTTAAACAAGAGGATGTTTTGCAGCTCTCAAGTAATTGCATATATTCAACTCATAGACGACTGACTGCAAGAAAATGTTTGTGTGACCACAATGACTAATACTTAGGGTTATTTTGGTTTAATCCAAACCAAAATACATGGAAATTGTTTGATAAAAAGTCCTCGGAGAATTATATACAATTTCTAAAAAAAAAAAAAAAAAGATTTCCAACGGTAGTTTTACACCATTTTCAGGTAGATAATGTTGCCACTGTTTAAAAGTCAGATATATACACATTTTCTTTCAAAGGGAAACTGTGGCTTTTATTAAAAAGGACAATTACTGTATCACAACTGTTTTTACCTTTTGTGACAGCCAATAGTATTTGAATAAATTAATGAAGTTCAGTTCTTTTTCTAAACTAATCAAATTAATTCATATTTGTACTTGCTTGCAGCTGGCCACAGCTCTGGACTTTCTTCATAGTGTGGGGATTGTTCATGCAGACCTAAAGCCAGAAAATATTATGATCGTGGACGAAGTACAAAAACCTGTGACGGTCAAAATTATTGACTTTGGTTTGGCCCTAAAAAATCCAGAGGAACATAAAGGAGCAGTTCTTCAGACCCTTTGGTACAGGTACCAAACTTCTAACTCCTCTGTAACTTCGGACAGCTGAGAATAGCAGGAGGAAACACGGAGGAGTCGTACTTACTAGCTAGCTTACGTTGATTTCTCTGACTTGCTAGAAATCAAAAAAAGTTAGTGATCACAGGTTACCTTAAGTGAAGTTCTGTTAAAGGGTAGTATAAATGAATATTTTAACAACATTAGATAAACTCCTGGTATTTTCATTTTGTACAAATCAAAATTAGGTGTTTTTTTTTTTTTTGCTAACGCTAAGTCTAATGCTAATGCTAACTAAGCTAACGAATAGTCTGTCAGGAACCAAGACCAAATCAGACTTAAAAGTAGCCAATGATTGTTGTTCAAGGCATTCAAGCGTGGAACATGTACTGAAGACAAGTCACATAATTAGTTACCCAATAGAAAAATAAAGCTGTGCAAAAATTGACAACACTGTATCATGCCAGCAGCTGTAAAATTGTGTTTTTGTTTTGCTTTCTTTGTAAATGAAAGCCCAATTAAATATAAAGAGAATTTAAAAGTTGATAAATTAGCACTAGCATAAACCGCAAATGTTATTGAGACCAGATTTGTTTCAAGATTGTATTGTAGCCCACCTGTTAGCTAAATCTTCTGGAATAAACTAATGTGGATTTCTACAGCTAGCTGTCGTTTTTTTTTTTTTTTTTTACATTTTTGCAGAACCTCTCTTCAAAAATTCAATAAGATCTCCGTCATCAGACTCAGAAGGAAACAGTCAGGTGTTTAATATTCATTACATCAAAATTTCTGTATTTATCTTCTCATAGATGTCCAGAGGTCCTACTGGGAGCTCCCTTTAGTGGAGCGATAGATGTTTGGTCTCTAGGTTGCATTGTTGTGGAAATGTTTACCGGTTCTGCTTTGTTCCCTGGAGAGGATGAAAACGAAATGGTTAGTATTGCATTCTAAGGGGATCCACAAAAAAGACTTGACATCATTGTTTTTGCTCCAATAGGTAACGAATCTTATATTTCAAAGCTCCACTTCCAATTGTGGATTGAAATAAAAATAAAAAAAATTAAAAAAGAAAAGAGGTTTGACTTAACTCTTTTGATTCATCTGGAGTGAATCAAATCTGTGTTGTACCCTCAGATGAAACACATTGTCCTCACCTTTGGAAATCCACCAGAATATTTGCTAAATTCAGGGCTGAATACCATGCAGTTCTTCAACAAAAATGATGGAGAAGAGGAACCATGTGGCCAGTGGACATTGAGGGTAATCTTTGGGTGGCTGTTCCTGACTATTGTTGCTTCATTTTACCATGTATTTTGAACATATCTCACTAAGCCTTTAATTTTACAGAGAAACACTGAAATAGGAAACATAAATTTCATTCCACAGAGGACTCTGGATTTCCTCAACATGGTGGGACATTCAAGGAAATCGAGCTTGATTTGATGATGCTTCCATTTCCTCACAATTTCTGTTTCATCCCACATCAGTTGCATGAAAATGTGTTAGATGAAAATGCAGATGAAAGCGAGCGGGATAGTTTTGTCGAGCTGGTAGCAGACATGCTGAAGGTGGATTCAGCTAAAAGGATCTCACCAAGAGAAATTCTTCTGCATCCGTTTGTCGCCAAGAGCCGTCTGGCGGACAATAGCATCCGGTAAGTGTGTCTTGACTTTAAAGACCGTTTGGAACATATTCTGCAGTGGACAGATAAGGACTAACCTTGCCTGTTTGCAGTGGGAAGTCCTCCAGCAATGCTGGAAGTAAAACAAAAATAGACCAAAATGACAACGTGGAATCTGGAAACAGGTCAGTTGATTGATTTTCTTTTGTTAGGAAAAAAACTGGGAGAAACTCTCAAATTGTGAAAGTAGTAGAACTAAAAAGATCTGAACAGTCGTTTGGTTAACTTGCCGTAGAAGCCCAGACGCCATCCCAGCTAAAAGGAGAAAGGAGTGTGAAGATGTAGAGATGACATGTGGACAGACGAGCCCATCAATGTCACCTTAATGGAAATGACAAAGAGATGATGTTGTGATATAGATATAATCGGATGAAAACTCAAACCTCAGCAAAGAAGAGGAGAATAAACCGTAACAGTAAGACTCGTGTAACAAATGGTTAAAATTTTAACTTTTAACGTTATCGATCCATGTGGTATATTAAACCTGCCTCGGTCATAACCCTTATGCGTATGAGGACTGAGGCAAACGTGGAGGTCTGTGGCAAATGATACAAGTTTTACGGGTGTGGGGTCGGTTGGGCCCCATTTGTAAACACAAGGGTTAAGAGATGAGGTCATTTGGATCCCACAGGTGTTTTACCTTGTGCGCAGTCCAGCGGGGTCACACTGAGCTCGCGTGTGCTTTTACAAATATATATTTTTTTTGTTTAATGAACCAAAGTAAGAAATAATTACAATAGGTCTGAAAATGACTTGTAGATATTTGGGTAAAGAAAGCCAACAATTTCCTAGCATTTTGGATTGAATGTGTGTGACGTGGTTGGTCTAGAAAATGTTTTTAGTCGGTTTTTTAGGAAAGGAGACCTTTGATGTCGTTACCCAAGTCAAATAAACAGGGCCGTGCAGAGACCACTAAAAGGGCAGGGGCTCAAAAAAAAAAAAAGGGCACATCTTACCGCATTCTAGGACAGAATATTAACAAAGCCACACAGCTTTGAG